TTCAAACAACTAAAAAAAAGTAAAGAGTCCAAAAAAAGTCGACCAGTTCTTGTAAAATCGATCTCTTCATTTTTTTGCATAAAATATTCAGTTTGTCAGTATTTTAGAGTAAAACGTTAAGAAAAACGCGTTTTTCTGTTTAGAGACAGTGTTGTTTAAAAACATTGATCTAAAAGTGAAGAAACTCCAGTTTCCAAGAGTTTTCCAAATAAATTATTATAAGCTTTCGCTTTTTCAGTTCGGGGAAATATTTTTGGAAAAAGACCTAGAAATAATGGTTAGGCTTTTATCCATAATTCGAAGATGCAAAAAGTTTTCCAAAAATTTTTGCCCAGCGGTTAAGAAGTGTTGCATGTGTAAAACTAAAAAATTATGCGAGATTCGCATAGAAAGAATTACTTAATAGAAACTTTTTTAAAACTGAAATGACCTGAAAATTAAAAAGAACTTTCTTTTAAGAAGTCTTCAGAGCGATGAGGGCGGCTATTTTTCCGAATAATTTTTTGTAATCGTTTGCTCTCTGGTCCTTTTTTTAAGATAGTTCTAATGACTTTCGGTAAAAAACTGAATAAAAGGAATTGGTTTTTGTGCAAAATGCGAAGCTGAAAAGGGTTTTCGAAAGTTCCGTGCAAATCGATGAATGTGGTGAATTTTCTAGCAAAATTAATTTTGTCATTTTTGACTGAAAACATTATTTTATTGTCAAAAAAGAAGAAAATAATGCTTATTTGCGTTTTCCATTAAAAACTTTTAGTTTTGTGATCGGTTTAGGAGAAAACCTTAATGGTTTTCGGGAGAAAAACAGTAGAAATTTATTTTCGTTTTTGTCCCGAATTCGACACTGCAAAAAGTTTTTGTAAATTTTTTACAAAACTTTAAATTTATCCTGTAATTTTTCGCCGTAAAGTCCTCCAGATTGTCAGTATTTTTAAGTGAAACTCTACAAAATAGAGCGTTTTTGAATTGAAAGTAAAGAAAAAAATTCAGTCAAAACTAGAAAACCAGATTTTATAACAAATTCTACAGTCTTCAGAGAAATGGAGATGACGAGATTTCCACATAATCTGTTATAAACTTTCGCTTATTCTGTTCGTTTTTTGATAGAAAAATGTTTGATTTTTGTTCCAAATTCGAAGCTTGAACAGTATTTCAAAACTTTTTTGAAAGTGACGAAGGATTATTATTATTATATTTATTATTATTTTTATTATTATTAATTAATAATTAAATTATACCTTAAGATTGTCGGCAATTTTAAGTGAAACTTTAGAAAATTGATCACTTAGAAGAAACAGTAACTTGGCTTAAACTAGAAAATTCTGAAATTTGAAGACCCTTTAAAAATATTATTAATAAATGGCCTTTAAAATAAATATAAGTGAGTCTCCTGACAGACTAGAATGATTAATCGTCGGTTTTTCTTGAGTCATTGAAGATATGTTAATTTTTTATGACCGACTCAATTTTCCGTTCAAGTTTATTTCAACTTTCTTTTTTTAAACTAGATAAGGTTGTACAGACAAAATTTTATTACAAGCTTGTACAAGGTTTAGCTGTCAAGCTCTGCTTACTTTTTACGTACGTAACTCGATAAAAAAAAATAAAGCAAAAAATATCTTTAGGATTGAAAACAAGAATACCGTGTCCTTAGGAAAACGACAAACGTTTACCAATTAATTTACAGAGCACAAAGAGTGACAAAATAAACAGAGCCATCAACTTATGAGGAAATGGCACAGCCTTTTTGCCAGATAGTTTTGGCGCAAACCATTAAAATTTCAATAAATTTCATGCGGAAAATGTGATCGATTCTAAAAAACTAATATCTCGCGAAGGGCTCGAGATAATCAACCGATTAGCGATCCAAGTTACTCGGAGAAATGAGGTTACAACATCGAATACTTTTTTCTCTGGCCTACTGCCATACTGCTTGCAGGAAGAGTTAAACTTTAACCAAGAAAACACTACATTATTCAAACATCTCGTACCAATCATTTACTTAATATTTTTGCTTATCTCATAACTTAATGTTAACCTAAAGATGAGCTATGATTCGATAAGAAAATAAATCAAGAATCACCGAATAACAAAATATGCACTATCAAGGGTCACGCGTTTACACTTTCAATTAACAGAATATCCGGCATCAAAGAGTTTTGCTTAGTGCATTCAAAATGGTCTTTATGCCTACTTTTGCTCGTAAGTTTTTATTTAAAATTTAAATGCGTAAGAAAACACAAGCTGTGGGTCGACCAGACAGCCGCCAGGACACATTTGGAATCAGATGGTAGCTGAGTTTTCGCTGGCCATCTTACAGACTAATTTTCTATATTCATATAGACGATTTGCACCTCGATCGCCTCATACAAATGCCTGGCATTATTTGCTGGTTAAATTTTGAGTTGATTTATGTTAAGTCACAAAGATCCCTCCATATGTTTATTAATTAATAATCCAATTACTTAATCGTAAATTAAGCGGCCACGCGTAGGCCACTAATCTTCAGCTGTGGAATGGAAATTGTTCAGCGAACACTATTTCGAGTGGAGTGACGCGCACAAAGCAAATCGATGAATTAGACAATATGACAACCTGTATGGAAAACATACGCTGGTGATTGTTAGAGACGCTATTCCGCAATCGATAAAATTTGAAAACGGTCTTACCAGCAATCAAACTTTGCGATTGGATGCAACGAGATATGTTTCATCCGTTTGCTATATTGAATGAGGGTGAATTGAGCAAAGAGACTGTTTGATTAGATTAGATTTTATATAAAGGGACGAGCGAAACGCTGACAAGAGCGGGTCAAAATTTTAGTAGATGCGGTCAATCGAGCTTCTAATGGTCGTCCTTTATACCTAATTATCTATAGTACTTTGAAGTGGACATTGTCCGCAGTTTAGTTGCTATTAATTTAACACACTTTCTGAGCATAACCATCCTGTTACAACTACACCCTTAATAAACGTTCGACCCTTCGTCAAACTATTGTTTTAAGCCAAGGGATTATGCAAATATTTAATAGAGGATGAAACACGAAATTGAATTTGACCAGTTTTGTGCAATGCGGGTCCCAATAAAGGAAAAATGATAGTTCTCCAACTCAAATGAAAATGCAAATAAATCTGCTTCCTTCAATAGGAATAACGTCTCAGATGGACATTACAGTGAACTAGAGTCAGCACTTTCTCTGTCCCTTGTCCGATCCTATAATCATATTATCCGCTTCCAACTACATCTCGAAAATGGATTTTATAATGAACCCAAACGCGCTTCCGAATTAATGTCGATCGTACCATGCGATTAGGGACTTTTTTGTAATATAAAGTCTGCCTTTTCGATGCAAATTCAGCGCTTGTGGGCGAAATTTTCGGCAATTTCAAATTTTCAGCTTTTTGTTTCACCAGGCACAATATGCAAGATCCATCGCACCAAATCAAAATTTACATTGCAAAAATGCGCTTTATAATTAATTCCCTTATCAACTTCCGGATGATCGAAAACCCACATACGCCCCAACTTCGACAAACTGTTATTAACTTTGAATGATTTAATTATATTATTTAATTTTCCATATCCAAATTCATCAGCAAACAAAATACCCATTGTGCGAAACTCTATGGGATTAGTAATTTTATGATACAGGGGAGGATTATCTAATTAAAATTTTATAATCTTTCCGCGTCGCTTTTGGTGCGGTTTTCTTTGCTAATAATTCTTCTGAACTGATGCATTATTCATTTTTAATATCTTTATTGGAATTCTCCGCGGGGATGTTCTATATATTTTACGACGAAATGTGCCTCGAAAACAAACACAAGTGGTCACACAATAACAAAACTAGTTGGTGGATAGCTTATGTGGAGAGGAGTTATTTTCAGCCCAAAAAAGCACACGGATAAAGCAATATTTCGGAAACTTCATAAGCCCAAAGGAGAAATTGAGAGCCATCTTATACAGGGTGATTCAAAATTGGCGTCATTCCTCTGGAAGTGTTGTCTGGCGGTGTTTTAGGAGTACGCATCGCATATCCGCAAATTCGTGAAAGAAAATTCAAATTCAAAGTATGTCACAGCTTGACAAATGATTGTTATTATTGACAAGGGCTATCCACCTATAACTATCTGTTAATGCCAAAAAAACATCATTGCCGCTTTGACTTTTCTTAAAAAAATTGTAGAAGAGGACTTTTTAGATATCAAAAATTAAGTTAAATTAAGTAGTCCCTTATGCTTCCAATTAAACATGGAACACTATCAAAATAATGCTTAATAACAAAGTTGAAATTCGATTTTCAACTGTTAATATCTTCCAGAAATTACCCAAAAAATTTCAATATTTTTTTCGTACCTTACAAATGAGCCCCTATTACCCCTTAAAAGGAATGACGCCAATTTTTAACCAGCCTATATTTTTTTAAATTATAAATTTGTCTTTCCAAACGTTATGTTGGATTTTTGTTTAATTTTGAGTATCTTCCATCACTTAAGTTTACTTATTTTGATTCAACGTGTTTATCAGTCGCTAAATAATGTTATTGCGATATCATGAGGTTTCCTTCGGTGAAAACCCAGATATTTTCAAAATACTGCATCCTAAAAATTCTGCCATTTTTACTTAGGTTACTTTGTTAGCATTAGCCAAACCGCTATTGCTTGGTAGGTAAATTTACCCGTTCACACGAATAACAAGGATTACCGATAAGATAACATCAGATAATATGTTCCAAAGATTGATAGAAGTGGTAAATCGATTCTTGAAAATGATTAAAATGTTTAATATCTGATTGGTAAATTGTGGCAATAAATAATATTTATTACAAAGTTTCTCCAGAAATTAACTTCGTAAACTGGTTTCTCTTTATATGCTCTGTTCATATGTTATATGAACATTAACACAGAAATGTTGGAGAGATATGTAAAAAATTTTCCAGTGGTCGTTTTATTAACTAAATCATATAAATGGGTTATACAAAGGAAGATTAGAGACTAATTAGATATTGCTTAAATGCACATTTATTATTCAAGTTTTACTCTATGTGCTACCTTGAACTTGTTATATGGGTAGCCTAAATGTTATTAAAAAATAACATTACAATATATAAAACCAATGCTATTTCAAGAAATAATAAGTTCGGACTTCCATTGATTCTATTTAGATGTAAATTTGTTTGCAACGTTTCGTTTGGGATGTATGTCAAACCGTTATCAAGTGTAAAATAACAATCTATTCGACTTGCAGAAGTTAGAGACAAATGAGGAAAAAGTTCCCAGGGTGCAAATTGGTAAAGCGGTTTCTTTACCAAACTGCACACCTGCAACTGCTGTAATGCATGTATTCTTCGCAGTTTTCGGAATGTTTGCTATTTTACACATGATAACGGTTGGAAATACATGCTAAACGAAATGTTCTAAATAAAGTTACAGCTGAATTTAAGCAATGGAAGTCGAAGCAGATTGTTTCGTGCCCAACAAATCTCCTCTTCAGTTGCCGTTCTTGGAGTCTTCTGCTTCATTATCCAGATCAATGATAGTGGTTTCACATTCCCGATCAGTTTCAGTTTCATCGGCTGCTGATGTAGGCAAATCTTTGTTTGCATCGCTCCCCCCTTCAATTCTGCAGGATTTACCGCAACAGCACTTCTTAGTTCTTCGCAAACGAATGCAGCAGCTTCTTCTGCCACATTTGCTTCGAGGTGCTTTTTTGTCACCTGGTAACGTGCCTCTTTCACCTGAATGTTCTGGGGAAGATACAGGCAGGCATCTGGGCAAATTATCGCATGACGATCCAGCTCCAATTTGATCAGCCATCCTGTCTGGATTGCATGGGCAACATCGCCTTCTCCTGACATGGAGTTTCCAAGGATCAAACTCAACATGTCTGCCCCTTGTTCGGTCATATCGTCCACATCCCCTTCGTTCGGGTTCATGACGGCACGCCCTTTCGAAGAATTCTCTGACAATTCGCCGAATTTGCTGTTCGTGGCTTCCCGGGTGCCCAACTTGCCGTCTAGGCCAATTAGGTGGACCACGACTATGGAAATGATGGGGCCTCCACACTGCAAAAGGCCCACGATCGTTGAAATCATGGTGACGACCATGACCGCCATGGTGAAGATCGAAAAATCCACGATGATTCATCACAAATTGCGAACATAAATCCAATACGAACAAATGCACAACTCGAGGTGGTTTCATGCGCTCCAGCTTTTATATTCGGTAATCAGTAATCAGCCTGCCATAATCCGGAGGCAAACTCTGGTTAAAAAGATGCAAGAAAAACATATTTTCCCCTGGTTTTCGTTACTACTGTGGCAATTTGAGGCAACCATTAGTTTACTACGCTCAGTTGTTAACAAAACGTTGGTTGAGTTTAGGCATTAAATTATATACCTAACTGTTAACACACGTCTAAATTTATGTGCGCTTGGACTAATGTAAGATAGTTTAATCATATTGCGAAACTAATTCAGTTCCCTTTGATAAAAGCGATTAACTAGAATTCAGGGACATTATTAGTAGGTACACAGAATACCTAGCTAATGCGAATAAGTGTTTGCACTTTTTCGAAAATATTAACATTGCGCAACATGTGCTCATAGAAAAGTAACGTGTTTCCTTACAGTCAACTGGTGCAATGTTTCGAAATTTGTTGTCAACTAAGTGCATGGCTTAGGTAGTTATTTTGTAGTCGCAAATGATCGCCCATTGACCTGGGTAACGCTAAATATTAATACGGTGTCCCGACCCCAAAAAACACTAGATCTGTGACTCGCTAGATGTTGTCGATCGAATATGCGGACACTCTGCACAACTACGCAATATACCTCGATTTTCTCCGCAGCAATTTAAAGAAAAATTCGCAAAACAAACGACCGAAACATATGGCGCTTTATAGCAATGGAACGGAAATACGTAACAAAAAAATCTGACCGAACAGCTTCATTCAGTTCCATTTCCCCATTTATACCCATTTAATGATCCGAAATAACCAGAGCTGTTAGGGAGTAAATAAATTCTATTTAGCGCCAGTGGATGAACCAATTAGGGTGTACACGTATGTGGGGTCCAGAGCGCGTAAAACAATAATAAGTACTGTCATTTGTAATGCCCTGAAAAATTTGTCTAAGGAAATAAGGGTCGAGATACAACCATTATTTTGCTTTAGCGGTTGGATCCATTAGGACCCTCAGCCAGACAGGGTCAATATTTTAGCTCGAAATGACACAGACTACTTTTCGTATGCTAGATCCATTTGATAAGTGGGTTTTTTAAGCGGGGTTTGACAAAAAAGCATCCGAACATTGCAGAGTTAAAGTATCTCAGAAAAAAGTTTTCACTTTTACTAATGTGCCTATAGTCAGAAATATTTCTGGAAAACATATTGAAAGTCTTAATGGAGTACATTGCTGGGGGATAACTTTTTCAATGCAATCTCAACTTGTTTAACAAAAGTTATTTAAGAAAAGGCCTCATCAGTAACACGGAATTACTTGTAATACTGGGGGTTGAGTAGAAATTTACTGATTATTTCTTCTAAAGACAAGATCCTTGTCACTATGCCATCTAATTTAAAATTGAAAATGTTCCATTGTCTTTTTTATTAGCGCATATCCTGTTATTTAACTATAAATATCCTAAAACTGATTTTATAAATAATCAAACAATCCCAAAAACAAGCCCTGAATTGTAGTGAAAATCTCACAACACGAGAGCCATTAAAGTTCCTCACTGAATAATTTATAGAGCTTGTTAAGTTTGCGCATTTTTTTGCACGGATGCTATATTTCGATCATGCTAAAACTATTATGTCGAGACTTTCAGTTAAGCGCTTCGCATTTCTTGTATAGAGTGGGCCCTAGAAATATTCGGATCGGCGGATTTGGGAAAATGCCACGTTTTTACCAAATTTATTTTTTTTCCATTAAATTCTACGTATGACTAATTACTTCTGGTGTACTGTATGTTATCCATAAACAAAGAGTTTTTACCGTTCTTTAAAGGAATTAGCCGCGCTGCAAAAGACCATCGAAAGCGCAGAAAAAGAGTTTTAGTTAATAGATGCTAGTAACAATCTATTTTATTTATTTGCCTAATAAAATAAATACAATCAACAATGTTGGATACACCTCTATCCCCTAAAGCATGTTTGTGCAGGTTATAAGCATGACCAGCTCGTTAACTTAACGCTATTTTTGACTAATGTCTATTTTTGGTGACGATATTTGCTTCCGGTTTCCCTCCTGAGTGTTCGGCTTTCTTGATACAAATCACATATTTGTCGGGTCCAACGCAAAATGGTTTTAGCGTTACGTTAACTGCGATTAATGCATATGTCTTCTCCTGATATTTTCTAGTCCCTACCCTTTTAATAATCTGCTCTTCCGATGCAAATGGAACTTTAGTCAAGGAGCACAAATTAGATTTATCGTTACTCTACTTCAGATTGTTGCCTATTGCTTACCCCTGATACTTCCTGTCGCTACCTCCTTGAATATTCTGCTCTTCTGGTGCAAATGGGATTTTAGTCAAGATACACAAATTTCTTTTAGCGTTAGGTTAATTGCGATTAAAGCCTGTTTCATCTCCTGATAGTTCCTTCTTGAACATTCTGCTCGCCTGATGCAAAAGTGATTTTTAGTCAAATCACGCAAAGTAGTTTCAACAATACGTTATTTGCGATAAATGTCGATAATGTAATTTTTGCTTCTGATAATTCCTCGTCGCCACTTGCTTCAATATCCTGCTCTCCTGATGCATACCAGATTTTATTCAAGACAAACAAAGTAGGTTTTCCACGCCACTTTCTTGAAAGTCGGCAGATTTTTCGCCTTATCGCCAAGGTTTCAAAAATAGTTAGTTTCTCACTAATCGACAAAAGAAATATCGCGAAAAACCCCAATGCATTTTTTTATTTTCAACCCAATGGATTTATTCACATGCTTACTGCTCTTTGCCATATTGCTTAACTTAACATTAAGTTATCCGAAGCACCTTAGTCTTCAGGTAGAACTTAGAAAGCATCAGTTAATTTTAGTCCGTCCAACTTGAAAAAAAGTTTATGGGATTGCAGCTTACTGTTGTATAAAATAGCTACAAAATGCTCTGACTGAATAAGTGAAATTCAGTTTTGTGGGGTTAACCACCGCCTGATTTTTTTATTAAATTTTGCAAAGAAATAAATGCCTGAAAAATGAAGTCTGAGCCAAGACAATTACGATTTTTTAAAATAAAATGGACAAGACCAGACATAACGTTTGAACAGAGGTTTGATATAAAACATTGTTTAGCTCACATTAACAAAAAAAATCCGAAGTTAAGCCAAGTGAAAACAATCCAAGTTGTTACACGGAGCCAGCAGCAATAAAAAGAATGAAAATCCCAGTTAGTGACCGACCCAATTAGGTTTCTACATATACGGAGGAAACTGCGGCGAAATCCTAATAAGCTCTGCAATTTGTAATGGCATGAAAAATTTAGCTGAGGAAATGAAGCCGCTAAATCAACCTGGAGAAATCTCCGTATACCAGCTCTGATTTCTGCCTGACTAAAGGTGGATCAATTGTTTCCAGGACTTTATTGAGCTGTGGAAACAAAACTGCAAGGAAACATCCACAAAAAAATCGTTAGGATAAAAAAGTTAATTGGAAAAAATATTTCAATATTCCCTTTAGGTTGAACTTACCAGAAAGTAGTTGCAGAGTAAATAATCCAAAGTAAGTGCAAAAATCAAAGAGGAAATATTATAAGCTACGAAGACCAATGTAAGAAAAAATTGGGATTTTCTTATTGGCTTATCCAGTAATTTGTCAAAAATCCAAGTTCTGTGAAGGAACAGTATGTTTTTAATTTTTGAAAGCGTTTTTAATTTGCAGCTTTTGAAAAAATATATTGAATTAATAACCAAAGCTGAAGAGTAATTCTTAGGCCAATAAAGACAAAATTGTGACTTCCAAAAACAAACATTAGTTAAATGCGAGATTCAGCTTGAATGAACATTTTGCATTGTTCTATCATATAGATTTCATTTCTGCCTTCCTCCTTATACATTTAAATAACAGATATTTTAGTGAAAAATAAAGAATACTCAAAGATCCAAAATTTAATATTTTTTTCAAAGGTGCATTAAAATCCCCTTTGCTTTAACAAACATTACCAATTCAACTTTCTAAAACCATTTTCTTAAAAAGCAATTATTATAGTTAGCGACAAATTCACTTGGCGCCATTCCGAAATTAATTTCTATCGTCCTCAAAGTTCTGCGCATAATTATAATTTCCGAAATTGGAGTTTCATCTCCGTTACGTAGAACAAGTGCTTTCACTCCAGATAAGGCTTATGCATCGTATCGTGTAATATGGTATAAACAAGCGTAAATTCAAGCTTAACTTAGTGCAAGCATTGTTCCTGTTGGTATGGAATTATTCCCTCCCGCACTGAAGGTTTTGTCAAATGCAGTTTTCATGACCCAATAATTTGCTGTTTTATGGGGCTTCTACAAATTTGATGCTAACACAAAGGAAAGCTATTAACAGTAATAATTCGTAGATGTTAATGTGACACTTTCAACTTATAAAGTTCTCTTTGTCAAATGAAGCAAACTTACAAGGAGAACTCGTACTGTCTCTAGAAACTTTCGAGGCGAACTTTAAAACAAGCATAAGCTTTTCCAGAAATTCCCGTTAAGAGAAATAACCTACAGTAGATGCCTTTCTAGAGAAGTGATCAAACAATTAAGTTAATAGTTATTTATGTATTAAGCAGACTGGTGCAAAAGTTCAAGATTACTGCTCTTAAAATTAAAATTGAAGTTTATAATAGAGCGACATCGGGAGGTTTATTTTTCCTATTTCAGTATGATTAATTCGTGAATATTTTGATTGAAATCGACCGAAGGAAACTATCAAACCAAGCAGAAGCCAACAATAAATAATTAAAGTTTCAATTGATATACAATCGTGGAAAAGTGTACACTTAAATTGAACGACCAGCCAACACCAAACAGTAGAACTCCCTATCCTAAATTAGTTCAATGTAAAGGTAAATTATCTATAATTTTGGTTTTCCATTAAAGAATCCAACAAACAAAATATTAAAATAATTAATTCAGCATTCGCAAAATGGTCTTTAATTCAAACATACAAAGCACTTTGTAAAATACTCCCTTTTGAAATTCATTGATGGTCATTTTTCTATTTATCATTA